TGTTGTCTTTGTTTTCTTTCTCTTTTTTCTTTTCTTTCTTTTCTTATTTTTTCTTTTCTTTTCTTTCCCTTCCCTTTCCCCTTCCCCTCTCCTTCCCCTCCCCTCTCCTCTCTCCTCTCTTCTCCTCCTCTCCCTTCTCTCTTTCCTTCCTTTCTTGACAGCATCTTGATCTGTTGCCCAGGGCTAGAGTGCAGTGGCATCATCATAGGTCACTGCAACCTCCAACACCTGGGCCCAAGTGATTCTCCTTCCGTAGCCTCCCAAGTAGCTGGGACTACAGGAGCGTGCCACCACACCCAGATAATTTTTTCTATATTTTGTAGAGACGGGATCTTGCTTTTGATCAGGCTAGTCACAAATGTGTTGTCTTTCTTTACTGACTTTTATCTCTTTTTTTTCCAACTATTGAGGAAGATGTGTTAAAGTCTCCCATTATAATGGTGGAATTTGCCTGTTTCTCATTTTTGTTCTTTCCTCGTTTTTCCTGATATATTTTGAAGTTGATTTAGTAGATATGTACATACTAACAAGTGTTTATAGCATCCTGGTGATTAATCTCTTTACCATCATGAAATGTGAACTAAGTTGTATTCGCCAAAGGAAAATAAAAATTCCAGATGGGGACCAGGCGTGGTGGCTTACACCTGTAATCCTAACACTTTGGGAGGCCAAGGCAGGAGAATCACTTAAGGCCAGGAGTTCAAGACCAGCCTGAGCCAGACCCTGTCTCTACAAAAAAATAGAAAAATTAGCCAGGTGTGGTAGTACATGCCTATAGTCCCAGGTACTTGGGAGGCTAAGGCAGGAGGATCACTTAAGCACAGGATTTTGAGGTTGCAGTGAGTTATGATGACACCATTGCACTCCAGCCCAGCTGACAGAGCAAAACCCTGTCTCAAAAAAAAAAAAAAAAAAATCCAGATGGTAAACAAACTCATTATAAGAAAAATACATGTTTCTAATACCTCAGCCTAAAGAAAATATAAAATACTGCTGAAGAGATTTTAGAATTACAAGTTTGTAAACATAACTTAAAGATATTGCTCTCTCAATAAAGTATGTGGTATTTGGAGACTGTAAGTTTTCTCCTCTAATGTATGTAGATTTCTATTTCAGTTTATGCCACCTATGTGTGTAGGAAGGCACCAGAGCCCATAATTTAAAATGAGCATTTCAGACAGAAAAGCCATGTGAAAGAATCAATTTAACCATCATGGTCATGTAGAAAATTAATGTTATATGATTAAAAATGATTTGAAGAAAACTGGTAAAAATCCAAGTGGATCTGTAGTCTAGTTCGTTGTATTGTTGTTTTCCTGATTCAGATAAAGCACTATAGTTGTTATATAAGTGTCACCATAGAGGAAACTGGATAGTGAGTACATGGATCCTCTCTGTATTAATGCTATTTTTACAGCTTTGTGTGAGCCTAGAATTATTTTAAGATAAAGAAGTTTAAAACATTATTTGAAGAATATAGGTTTTGCATTGCTGAGATAGATGAAAGAGATGCTAATGAGCAAAATATGATAGTCTTTCTTTTTAGGTATGGGACGAGATGAAAAGATCATGCTTTTAGATCCCAAAGAGCAACCATAACATATAAACAGTCTTTCTTTTTGGCTTAAGAATTATTGATAACTGCCGGGCATGGTGGCTCACACCTGTAATCCTAGCACTCTAGGC